TTTACAATACGAGTATCAAGCAATCATAAGAATAGAAAATAAAACCGCAAATTGTTGCATTGAGGAATATTGGATTGATCACTTAACAAATTCTCAAAACAAAGAGAGAGCAAAGAGAGAATAATTTTTAAAGCTTGGAACATGCAGGTTCGACTCTTAAATAATCCCTTGATTAAAACGTAAAATGACGACGAAGAGGTACTATCTTATCCATCAATTCCGATGTAGGACAAGTCAAAATGGTCAAGCAGCACGTGCCATCTGATATCTTATTTTGCGTTGATGCTCAATTAGAGCCGAAAAAACCTGTGTTTAACTCTTTGTAAACAGAAATATTGTCATCTGTTGTAGCTGTAGACAAAAAATTAGTTTTTTTATTTTAGACAAAACACTGAGCGGTTGCGTAATATTGGCCGCCTCGGTTTTAAAACTACCAGTCTGAAAATTGGTCATTTTTATCTGGGCATCGTTTCCGGCGTATGGTAGAGCTGTAGATCGACTTTTCATTCTTGTAGAAGAAAGCTCGATGTGCGACATGCTCTCTTGCCAAGTCTTATCAACCAAGCTTATTGTTATCCCTGTCAAACAGTGTCATAGAGGACAGCTGAACAAACACAACAGCTCGGCAGTTGTTGTGTTATATGTCAAAACAGTTCACACAGCAAACGCCTCTCCTTAACTGTTTTACGCGTTACTGCCTGTGGGAAAAATGTCTGTCGTTAAGCTTGCTCTTTACGTGCTATTCAGGACCTTTGAATTATAAAAACTCACTAAGCAATGAAACAATATAATAGAAAGAATGAAGTTCATGCACACCAACAACGTTGCTGACAGAATTAACAGTAGTGAATTGTTCCTAAGATAAGTTTCTTGTCCGTGACATGTGTCATTACGGGACGGAATGGGAACTCGTTTAAATTTACCCGCGTCTTCGCCTCCATCTGTGTCGACGAATTCTAATCCCTGCCAGACAAGGAATATGTCGAAATTTACTCTCAGACGCTTTTCTGGCCAAGGTTCCGAAGATAATTTCGCCGAAAGGACTGGGACTGGGACGAAAGCAAAGCACTTTATAATCGCAACTTGGCGCCTCTAACCCGTCTTTATTCAAATTTCTGAGAACAAGATTAAATGAGTTTTGCATTACGAATTCACAGTTGCAAGCAGAACTCGTCGAACAGGTTAACTTTCTCGTCCCGTAATGTGAATACAATTAGTGTTGTGCAGCCGACGTTTTGTGCATAGGTATCTTTTGGACGGTCTCGATGGAGTTAACCCTCAAAGCGGGCTTAAAATTCAGAAATAAGACTAAAAATTGTAAAATGTTAATTGTTAGCCGTTAAAAATATTAACCATAAAAAATTTTAGCCACCAAAGTGGAAGTATCATCGGCCTCTCCTGTCAAGAATTTTTTGCAATTTAAAGCAGCGAAAGCCATACATCATGTTTGCATGTTATTTCGGGACAGGCATATAAATCTAGCGCTATAGTAGTAAGATATCAGTTGACAGTTTGGCATCCCAGAACGCCTTAAATATGTTTTACAGTGATTGAAATAAATTTTAAACTTTTTCAAACAATGAAAAAACTGTTAATTTTGTAAAATAGTGGTAATTGGTTTCTAAGATTTCTGTTAACTGTGAAAAATAATTTTAAGCGTCAGCCGTTAAAATACCAAATTATTCACCGTTAACTGTAAAAGTCAACAAACCATTAAGACCCTCCTTGTGTTTTCACTAGGAAAAAAACTCTCCTTGTGTTTTGACTAGGAGAAAAAAAAACAGGAAGATTTAAGCAACAGGAAAACAAACCTGTTTCACGATATTAAAATTGTTCTCGCCTCTCTAATTATTCTCATCTTTCTCAAAGGTATCAGGGAGATGTTTTTGGGCTACTATTAGTAAAAGAACTCATCTTCTTGGTGTCATGTTGTTTTTTTTTACCGACATCTAGTAGAGGAAACTCGCACAACTGAGCCCAGCCTCTAGACGTATATTACAGCCGGTCTTTTTTTAATCCATATCTGGGGAACCAAATTAGGTATTGTTTTTCAAAACTTGTCATATTATGACATCGAGCGCCAATAGGTGAACAAGCACAACAATGAGGCACATGTTTGTTTCATAAAGCGTGTATTCATTTTCTGGCATACATGTGTGTATATTCCTCCCTCTGGAGTCCATACATTTCTTTTGTTACCAGTTAGAAGAATTTCCTTATACATCAATTCCCTTAATGATCAGTTTGAACAACATAAGTTATTCCACTTTGTTTTCAAAGCTGACGTTATAAAACAGTTCCTTAAGGAGCGGCTTGCACTTCTACAAAGTGTCAAACTGACTCGTTCAGCTTACTGAAGGTGACCAAGATGGACAAAGTAATGGCGATTGGTTTTCTTTTCCTCTTTTGCGTCGTTTTCCTTATGATAGAAGAAAGTTCTGGGGCTGTTCATTGCCCTGGTCCAATGCCTGTGAGTGCTGTAATTATTTTAGAGCTCGAACTTCTTTTACAAAATCATCTATGCACTTGAAATAATATGGGCTTAACCTTGAGGTTAAGAAGGAAGCTAATTAAAATCTATGTTGCTTGTAGAGAGCGATCAAAGCGCTTCATTGTCAGAAAATTCTTGGTTATAATTTAACTCAGCGAGCTTACGAGAAGAGTTTCTTCCGTCTCCTTAACGATTCATTTCTTTTCTTTTTACAGGTCTGTAACCGACCAAAAGGGTCTAAGAGAGGAATCTGCCGCGCTGCTCGACGATTCAACTGTGACCAACTCCTGCAAGACGAGAACGAGAACCCAAGAGTTCAGCAAACCGCTCCACAATACTAACTTCTAAGCATCATGTAACCTCAAGGAGCCTCAAATAAAATGTAAATTCGTGTTACCTCCTGCGCTTTTATGACTTTGACTGGAAAATAAGCAATATTTGTCTCTGGGCACTCCTTCTCAAAACTGCACGTTATTGGTCGATTTGTAAAATTGGCACCAGACTATGGTTGCGATTCGTCTCTCTCTGAAAAGTTTTAGAGGAAGTTAATGTTCAAAAAAAAATAGGTGACTGAAAGACAAAATGTTAAATGCTTCTAATTGTTTATCGCTTTACGTGTCACTGGTGTTATACAGAAGTGGTGAAAATGATATTCCATAAGCGCAATTTAATCATTTCGTTTTTATAGAAAAATTCGCTGCAAACTACCCCATATTAAAATTGTTCTTTTCTTTCCGATTTTCATTGACACAGACCGATATTTTCGGGCTAATATTAATCGATAACGGTTCTTCTTGTATCATGAGTATTTTTGTTTGTTTGAGTAGAGTAGAGTAGAGTAGAAAACCTCTAGAAAACCACGTCAAACATAGTTTTGCGAAGTCTGTCACATTTTAATATTGACCGCCAACAGGTGAACAAGCACAACAAAGAGGCACATGTCAGGTATTTTACCCTGATATACTTGTAAATATATCTTCTCCCGCTGGTGTTCATACATTTACTGTGTTACTAGTTAGAAGAATTTCGCTATTTATCAATCCCCTTAATGATTAATTGGATATCAAACACTTCATAAGTTATCTGACTTTGTTTTCGAGGCTGACGCTGTAGAACATTTCCTTTAAAAGCGGGTTACACTTCTACAAAGTGTCAAACTGACTCGTTCAGTTTACTGAAGGTGACCAAGATGGACAAAGCAATGACGTTTGGTTTTCTTTTCCTCTTTTGCGTCGCATTCCTTATGATAGAAGGAAGTTCTGGGCTGGGTCAGGCTTGCTCTAGTTACCCGAATGCAGCGCCTGTGAGTGTAGTTATTAATTTTAGAGCTTGATCTTGTTTTACAAAATCATCTATGCACCTGATTTTTTTTTTTTTTTTGAGATATTCAAGACTTAACCTTAAGGATAATTACAAAACCACATAGTGCAATCCAATATCTGCGGAAAACATGTTCATAGCGCTCCGTGCTCACACTCCTCGTTTTGCCAGGGAAAAACCCTGCCCTACTGTCATTTTTAGTAAGACCAGTCACTTTCCTATGACAATTTTATTAGACAATTTAAAATTCTAATATTCACACCCCAAAGAAATAAAAAACATTTTGTTAACGGCACACTTAATTTATCCAGCATAGAGCCTCCTCTTCTCTTTACCCATCAAAGCGGATAGTGAAATTCACTGTAAACTTTCCTTTCCCCTCAGTACACTTTCCACCTCAAATTAAAATTCGTACTCGAAACTGACAAAGCGCAGTTAAACGATCGCGTTTGACGTGAGGAAATGGCGTAAGCGATGGCACAAATCGTTCGTAAACGCCCCGCAAAATAAACCAAACTCAAATGTTGTAATTTAATTTGAGTAGCGTGCTGGTTATGCGACACGTGATCGTCTTTGGAAAGTACCAGAAGCCGTGTAAGGGCCTTTTGGGTGGAACAGGGAAACTCCAATTCGCGCACTTTGGACATTTAGTTTTGAGCAGCGTTTTGCCACACATTCTCGTTCCAATCGCAGAAAGGAATTTTTCCGTTGCTTTAACCGAGGGTTAGTCGTAACCTAGTCGCTCTAGATAGGAAGCCGTTATAGGAAAGTAGCTTTCAAACTAACGTACAGAGACAAAAACAGGAACAGGTGGCATATAAGACCGAAGGTTAGCATTTAAACATGGACAAGTCGATTAATTTCCATCTATTTATTGACATTTCAAGCCACGTTAGTTAGTTTTAATTTGGTTTAGTGCGGTCGTTTTCCATAACTTGCGTCGGTTTCTGCTGTCAGGTATTTCACTCTAGACTTGTTCGTCTTCCGCTCTGGAGTCGCAATTCAGAGCTCGTGCGGCCTCACAGATGCTCCTTCGGGAACGAAACAACTGAAAACAGAAAAGTCGAATGAGTATATCAATCAGTCGAAATTATTTTAACCCTCTGAAATCTCTATCCCTTGTTAATTACATCCTTTATTAAATGCGCATTGCTTGTCGCTTCTGAAGAGACCGGCGGCAAATTGAGACATGAAAGAAGAATATTTGCATACTGCTGAAAGCGGCTGAGACTGAAATGAAAACCTTCGCGCGCTTTCCAGCGTCTATGCTAATTTTTATATACCACGAAGTTTTGCAGCTGGTACCGCACAATTACTCCCTTGCAAACAAATTTTCTTTACAAATAATTTCACGAGCGCGCGGGGTACACGAGAAGACAGTTTGGCAACTATTTCGTATGCACCAAGCGTTGAGACGTGTCTGATTAAATGCGATCACGTAGCGGGAGTTTTATCTCGGTAGCCCCTAGTTCAACCTCTCGGTTATGCTTGTAAATTGCCAACCCAGGCTGGTCTTCCCTCCGCCACTTGGGATATTAAGCCTGTCGTGTTCAGTTGATATATTTGTTTTTTTGTTTTTGTTTTTTTTGTTTTCTTTTTTTTTAAGTTTAAGTGGCATGCCTCTGAACCAGCTAGGTATAGCTAAGCGCATGGACCATAAGAAACAACAACATTTGAACATTTGAATGCAAAATATTGTACTTTGTCAAGGTTTTTTTTTTCCATTATCAGCCTGTCTTTGTCGCATAAACGATGCTCTCCGGCGGCCATTTACGGGCATGGTAAAGGGTATAAAGGCACAGATCCATTGGATCACCTAGTCGATCAAAACCGGGAAAATGAATTACCCAAAGCTAGTCAGGTTTATTGTGCAATATCGAAAAGAGAGGTTGAAATTGCTATAATTCATTTGTGAAATTTAAATTACAGTATCGACGAAAAGACTTCCAGTAAAATTTAAATTAGGTATTATAATTCGACAGACTATAACGATTTTTGGGCAAAGTCAGATGGAGACCGGTAGTTTTTTTTTCTCTTTAATAAGGAATTAACAGAAGAAAATATGAAACCACACGGAACTATATAAGCGTCACAGCAAAGAGTGCATATTATTTTTCTATTTTATTTCAAATTATAAGAGATTTTTGGATCAGTACAGAAGCTAGCTCAACTATTGTTTATTGACGAGTGCTTACGACCCAATTCCTTTTTCCAATACGAGTATCAAGCAATCATAAGAAGAGAAAATAAAACCCGCAAATTGTTGCATTGAGGAATATTGGATTGATCACTTAACAAATTCTCAAAACAAAGAGAGAATAAAGAGAGAATAATGTTTAGAGCTTAGACCATGCAGGTTTGACTCTTAAGTAAGTAAGTAAGTAAGTAAGTAACTTTATTTAATGAGGGTAAAAACACTTTACAGTCATTGACTGATAAACTCGTGGCCCTCCCTTAAACAATTGGAATATAAATCACAATGATTTTAAAAATATCTAACTATGAATAATTATAAGTATAAAACTGGTAAAATTACTAACATCAACAAAATGGACTAAAATTTGAATAATCCCTTGATTAAAACGCAAAATAACAATGAAGAGGTAGCATCTTATCCATCGGTTCCGATGTGGGACAAGTGAAAATGGTCAAGCAGCACGTCCCATCTGATATCTTTAGTTGTTTTAGTTGATGCTCAATTAGAGTCGAAAAAACCTGTGTTTAACTCTTTGTAAACAGAAATATTGTCATCTGTTGTAGCTGTAGACGAAAAAGAAGTTTTTATTGTAGACAAAACACTGCGGTTGCGTAATATTGGCCGCTTGTATTTAAAACCTACCAGTCTGAAAATTGGTGATTTTTATCTGGGTATCGTTTACGGCGTATGGTACATTTTACTGTAGATCAGCTTTTCATTCTCGTAGAAGAAAGCTCGACGTGCGACGTGCTCTCTTGCCAAGTCTTATGAACCACGCTTATTGTTATCTCTGTCAAACAGTGTCATACGGGACAACTGAACAAACACAACAGCTCGGCAGTTGTTGTGTTATATGTCAAAACAGTTCACACAGCAAACGCCTCTCCTTAACTGTTTTACGCGTTACTGCCTGTGGGGAAAATGTTTGTGGGTAGGCTTGCTCTTTACGTGCTATTCAGGACCTTTGAATTATAAAAACTCACTAACCAATGAAACAATATACTAGAAAGAATGAAGTTCATGCACACCAACAACGTTGCGGACAGAATTAACAGTAGTGAATTGTTCCTAAGATCAGTTTCCGGCGTCCGTGACATGTGTCATTACGGGACGGGATGTGACTGAGCGGGTTTTGTGGGAAACTCGTTTAAATTTACCCGCGTCTTCGCGTCCATCTGTGTCGACGAATTTTGATCCCTGCCAGACCAGAAACATGACGAAATTTCCTCTCAGACGCTTTTCTGGCCATGGTTTCGAAGATAATTTTCAGGAAAGGACTGCGACTAGGACAAAAGCAAAGCACTTTATAATTGCAACTTTGCGCCTCTAACCCGTCTTTATTTAAATTTCTGAGAGCAAGATTAAATGCGTTTTGCGTTGCGAATTCCCAATTGGAAGCAAGACTCGTCGGACAGGTTAACCTTCTCGTTCCGTAATGTGAATACAACTAGTGTTGCCCAGCCGACGTTTTGTGTATAGGTATCTTTTGGACGGTTCCGATGGGGTTAACCCTTATAACGGGCTTAAAATTTAGACTTTAGGCTAAACATTGTAAAATTTTAATTGTTAGCCGTTAAAAATATTAACCATAAAAAATTTTAGCCACGAAAGTGGAAGTATCGTCGGCTTCTCCTGTCAATAATTTTTTGCAATTTAAAGCAACGAAAGCCATACAGTATGTTTGTTATTTCATTACAGGCAGATAAATCTAATACTATAATAGTAAGATATCAGTCAACAATTTGGCATCCCAGAACGCTTTAAATATTAAATAAATTTTAAACGATTTAAAACAATGAAAAAAAGCTTAACTTTGTAAAATAGCGGTAATTGATTTCTAAGACTTGTGTTAACTGTGAGAAATAATTTTAAGCGTCAGCCGTTAAAATACCAACAATTGTTCACCGTTAGCTGTAAAGGTCAACAACCCATTGAGACCCTCCTTGTGTTTTGACTAGGAAAAAAAACTCTCCTTGTGTTTTGACTAAGAAAAAAAAAACAGGAAGACTTAAGCAACAACAAAACAAAACTGTTTCACGATATTAAAATTGCCCTCGTCTCTCTAATTATTCTCATCTTTCTCAAAGATATCAGGCAGATGTTTTTGGGCTACTATTAGTAAAAAACTCATCTTCTGGTGTCATGTTGTTTTTCAACTGATATCTAGTAGAGGAAACTCGCACATCTGAGCCCAGCCTCTAGACGTATGTTACAGGCGATCTTTTTTTAATTCATATCTGGGGAACCAAATTAGGTATTGTTTTTCAAAACTTGTCATATTTTAACATCGAGCGCCAATGGGTGAACAAGCACAACAATGAGGCACATGCTTGTTTCATAACGCGTTTATTCATATTCTGGCATATATGTGTGTATATTCCTCCCTCTGGTGTTCATACATTTCTTTTGTTACCAGTTACAAGAATTTCCTTATACATCAATTCCCTTAATGATCAGTTTGAACAACATAAGTTATTTGACTTTGTTTTCAAAGCTGACGTTATAAAACAGTTCCTTAAGAAGCGACTTGCACTTCTACAAAGCGTCAAACTGACTCGTTCAGCTTACTGAAGGTGACCAAGATGGACAAAGTAATGGCGATTGGTTTTCTTTTCCTCTTTTGCGTCGTGTTCCTTATGATAGAAGGAAGTTCTGGGCTGGCTATTAATTGCCCTGGTCCAATGCCTGTGAGTGCTGTAATTATTTTAGAGCTTGATCTTGTTTTACAAAATCATCTATGCGCTTGAAATATTAAGGACGTAACCTTGAGGTTAAAAAGAAAGCTAATTAAAATCTATGTTGCTTGTAGAGAGCGATCAAAGCGCTTCATTGTTTGAAAATTCTTGGTTATAATTTACCACAGCGAGCTTACTAGTAGAGTTTCGTCCTTCTTCTAACGATTCATATCTTTTCTTTTTACAGGCCTGTAACGGGAAGAGGTTTAAGAGAGGAATCTGCCGCGCTGCTCGACGATTCAACTGCGACCAACTCCTGCAAGACGAGAACGTGAACCCAAGAGTTCAGCAAACCGCTCCACAATACTAACTTCTAAGCATCATGTAACCTCAAGGAGCCTCAAATAAAATGTAAACTCGTGTTATCTCCTGCGCTTTTATGAATTTGACTGGAAAATAAGCAATATTTGTCTCTGGGCACTCCTTCTCAAAACTGCATGTGATTGGTCGATTTGTAAAATTGGCACCAGACTATGGTTGCGATTCGTCTCTCTCTGAAAAGTTTTAGAGGAAGTTAATGTTCAAAAAAATAGGTGACTGAAAGACAAAATGTTAAATGCTTCTAATTGTTTATCGCTTTACGTGTCACTGGTGTTATACAGAAGTGGTGAAAATGATATTCCATTAGCGCAATTTAATCATTTTCTTTTTATAGAAAAATTCGCTGCAAACTACCCCATATTAAAATTGTTTTTTTCTTTCCGATTTTTATTGACACAGGCCGATATTTTCACGCTAATAGTAATCGATAACTGATCTTCTTGTATCATGAGTATTTTGTTTTTTTGTTTTTTTTGTTTGTTTGTTTGTTTGTTTTTTGTTGTTGTTTTTTTGTTGTTGTTGTTGTCGTTGTTTTCTTATCAAACTTTATTATGTACTGTAAATTGTAAACCGATGCCAAGCGTAGAAGACTTCTAGAAAACCACATCAAACATAGTTTTGCGAAGTCTGTCACATCTTAATATTGACCGCCAACAGGTGAACAAGCACAACAAAGAGGCACACTATCAGGTATTTTACCCTGATATACTTGTAAATATATCTTCTCCCGCTGGTGTTCATACATTTGCTGTGTTACTAGTTAGAAGAATTTCGCTTTTTATCAATCCCCTTAATGATTAATTGGATATCAAAAACTTCATAAGTTATCTGACTTTGTTTTCGAGGCTGACGCTGTAGAACATTTCCTTTAAAAGCGGGTTGCACTTCTACAAAGTGTCAAACTGACTCGTTCAGTTTACTGAAGGTGACCAAGATGGACAAAGCAATGGCGTTTGGTTTTCTTTTCCTCTTTTGCGTCGTGTTCCTTATGATAGAAGAAAGCTCTGGTCTGGGTCATGCTTGCTCTAGTTACCCGAATGCAGTGCCTGTGAGTAAAGTCTGCGTACGAGCCAAGTGGCCCATCAGGCCGGAGCTTATCCCGGTTTCTGTAGCATGAAGCGACTAGGAGTATTTCTACTCCCCCCTGGATGGGATGCTAGTCCATCACTTGATTTTTTTGAGATATTCAGGACTTAACCTTGAGGATAATTACAAAACCAAATAGTGCAATCCAAGATCTACGGAAAACATGTTCATAGCGCTCCGCGCTCACACACCTCGTTTTGCCAGGGAAAAACCCTGCCTTAATGTCATTTTTAGTAAGACCAATCACTTTCCTATAACAATTTTATTAGACAATTTAAAATTCCAATGTCACTTGTAATCCGATCTCAGAACGCCTTTATCACTTCAGTTTTTATCGTCATTTTAGATTCATCCTAGTCTTTTCAACAGCTAAACGCACGAGACGGATTTCCGAAAAAAAAAGAGCTAAAAGGAACACCTTCATTGTTAGAAAATTCTCGAGTTTTAATTGACCACACGCGTTTCGTCCGTCTTCTTAACGATTCATATCTTTTCTTTTTACAGGCCTGTAACCCTGGGAATAGTTTCAAGAGAGGAATTTGTCGCGCTGCTCGACGATTGAACTGCGAATAACTCCTGCAAGACGAGAACATGAACCCAAGAGTTCTGAAAACCGCTCCACAATACTAACCTTAAAGCATCATATAAACTCCTTAAGGATGCTCAAATAAAATATAAACTCGTGCTACAACCATTTATCTTAAGACTTTGGCTGTGAAAGAAGCAATATTCTAAGACGTTGTCTTTGGGCGCTTCTTCGTGAAACTATGAATATTCGTTTCGTGAAATGGCACCTGCGTAGGGTAAAGTCTTTTGCTCTGAAAAAGACCCGTAATATAGACTAGCGGTCAAAGTTTTAGAGCAAGTTAATGTTGGCATGGCTTTATTGTTAATAAAGTGATTAAGCAACTGAAGAAAACTTTAATAATGTTAAGTTTGTAACTGTTTTCGCTTAGTGAGACACGTAGCCTTCGAGCAGTTGGGTTTTGTTCCTGGAACCCCCGCGCGATGGAAATTATTCCTCGGGAATGTTCTAACCAATTCAAATCCGCAGACAACGCAAGGAAATTAAACTTTAAGTTAATATTCATACTCCAAAGAAAAAAAAAACATTTTGTTAACGGCACACTTAATTTATCCAGCATAGAGCCTCCTCTTCTCTTTACCCATCAACGCGGATAGTGAAATTCACTGAAAACTTTCCTTTTCCCCTCAGTACACTTTCCACCTCAAATTAAAATTCTTACTCGAAACTGACAAAGCGCAGTCAAACGATCGCGTTTGACGTGATGAAATGGCGTAAGCGATGGCACAAATCGTTCGTAAACGCCCCGCAAAATAAACCAAACTCAAATGTTGTAATTTCATTTGAGTAGCGTGCTGGTTATGCGACGCGTGATCGTCTTTGGAAAGTACCAGAAGCCGTGTAAGGGCCTGTTGGGTGGAACTGGAAAATTTTAATTCGCGCACTTTGGACATTTGCTTATGAGCAGCGTTTTGCCACACATTCTCGTTCCAATCTCAGAAAAGAATTTTTCCGTTGCCTTAACCGAGGGTTAGCCGTAATCTAGTCGTTCTAGAGAGGAAGCCGTTATAGGAAAGTAGCTTTCAAACTAACGTACAACGACAAAAACAGGAACAGGTGGCATATAACACCGAAGGTTAGCATTTAAACATAGACAAGTGGATTAATTTCCATCTATTTATTGACAATTCAAGCCACGTTAGTTAGTTTTAATTTGGTTTAGTGCGGTCGTTTTCCATAACTCTGGTCGGTTTCTGCTGTCAGGTGTTGCACTCTAGACTTGTTCGTCTTCCGCTCTGGAGTCGCAATTCAGAGCTCGCGCGGCCTCACAGATGCTCCTTCGGGAACGAAACAACTGAAAACAGAAAAGTTGAATGAGTATATCAATGAATCGAAATTCTTTAACCCTCTGAAATCTCTATCCCTTGTTAATTACATCCTTTATTAAATGCGCATTGCTTGTCGCTTCTAAAGAGACCAGCGGCAAATTAAGACATGAAAGAAGAATATTTGCAAGCGGCTGAGACTGAAATGAAAACTTTCGCGCGTTTTCCAGCGTCTATGCTAATTTTTATATACCGCGAAGTTTCACAGTTCGTACCGCACAATTACTCCCTTGCAAACAAAATTTTCTTTTTACAAATAATTTCACGAGCGCACGGGGTACACGAGAAGACAGGTTGGCAACTATTTCGTATGCACCAAGCGTGGAGACGTGTCTGATTAAATGCGATCACATAGCGGGTTCAAGTCCCGGTCTGACCACTTAGTTGGAGTTGTATCTCGGTAGACCCTAGTTCAACCTCTCGGTTATGCCTGTAAATTGCCAACTGGTCTTCCCTCCACCGGTTGGGATTTTTAAGCCTGTTATGTTCAGTTGATATATTTGTTTTTTTGTTTGTTTTTTTTTTCAAGTTTAAGTGGCATGCCTCTGAACTAGCTAGGTATAGCTAAGCACATGGACCATTAGAAACAACAACATTTGAACATTTGAATGCAAAATATTGTATTTTGTCAAGGTTTTTTTTTTCCATTATCAGCCTGTCTTTGTCGCATAAACGATGCTCTCCGGCGGCCATTGACGGGCATGGTAAAGGGTATAAAGGCACAGATCCATTGGATCACCTAGTCGATCAAAACCGGGAAAATGAATTACACAGCACTTCAACCTGTTTTCGTTAATAGCCGACATCTAGAAAACGATCAACTGCCATATTGCCAAGAAAGCAATATAAAATTGTCAGCTCAAACTAAGCTGATATGTTAAGTGGCAGTCAAAATGTTTCCGTGGAGACAGTCATTCATGTTGTATCCATCTTAAATCCTAAGCGTGTTTAGTTCCCTTAACGTCCTAGAACGCAATAGAACTAAATTAAAGGAGTCAAATCTGTTATTAAGATAAAACAGTTAACATGTAGGTGTCATTGATGAAAACAGGGAGGCTTTCCATTTGGGACTGGAAGAACCTATTTCTAAACGGGAAAGTTTAGCCCAGCACAAAAACAAACAAAACAAACTATTTGCGTGGGGCGTTTTTCTACTGAAAGGGGTTTTCAGTTCATATATGCCTATTTGGCCAAGAAAGTATTGAAACAAGTTTTAGCCAAATTTGAAGGAGAAAACTACCACCCAAACTTAACTAATTCAAGAAGTCAATATTTCTTAGACATTAGAACTAAGAGTCGGAAAACAAAACCAAAATGACTTTTGGACTTTTTCATAAATAAGGCCGACTTCTGAAGCAAGATTGCATCAAAATCGTTTAACCCACCCACTCACTCTACCCCTCTGAGACCACTTTCTCAGAAAACTAATTATTACAAAGTTTTTTATTTATTGCTTGGGTAAAGAGGTAAATAGTAAGAATTTTGAAACTAAATGGAACTGTTCAGTTACCTCGGACGTTTTTATTTCTTTTCTATTGGCAGCGTTCATTGATCCGATGGGAAGGGGAGCAAATGCTTCGCCATCATGAGAACAAGCCAACAGCAAAATGGAAACAACGAGGCACAGGAAAACCAACGAAGATGAGAACTTCTTCATAACGATAAACAAAACAGAGCAGAAGAGAACGTTGTTGAATGCTCCTCTGGTTGCCTTCGTTCAAATAGAATACCCCTTGCCAGGCATGCCAATCACCTCTTACAGATAAACATTGAGATTTTAAAAGAGGGTTTAATTAAGAGCGCCTTATTGAAACGAAACAAGGGTTCCATTACAAGGCAAACGTAGTTATTGGCTTTTAATTGTCAGGAAAAGCAAACTTTAAAGCTCCGATAATTCTTTAATACAACCAAAATTTTGCACATTGTGGGGTTACGTATATTAATTCTGCTTAGCCTTTCATTTGACTGTCCTTCCGTTTTCCTTTATTTGCAGCTGTTTTTCAAATGCTGAAACACCATCTGATACACATTTTAGCGAATTCAAGCAACCACGACGACGACAACAAAGATAACGTCTATTAAGAAATAAATATGTGTTTTACTTATGAATCTCGCGATACTTAAAAGTCATTTAGTTTGTTTAAAATAAACGTGGAACACAGCGTTAATTCGAAAGATTAATTAACCAAAATTTAATTAATAGCCGTCGTGATTCACGTTCTCGAGACAACACAGAATTGTTCCAGTTTCACAATGTTGTTTTGCTGTTTTGAATGGACGGTCCATTTAGCTGAATCAGCAATAAGCTGAATTCTACCTGCGCAGACTGCATTACGAGCTTTCAATGAACGAGAATTTGGACAGCTAAAATTTTACTCCATTCCTCGGCTATCCGGTGAGTGAATGGCCAGTTTCCTCAATGATACGCGCCTGCAGGGAACCACGGTAGTTGTATTCATCATTTTGGATTGGATGTTTGTTTTGATGAATACAGCTACCATGATTCCCTGTGGGCGAGTCTCAAAGAGGGAATTGACCATTTTGCGGAACTCAATTTTAGGGATTATTTAAAAAAAAAAAAAAACCTCGTTATTACTTATCTGACAGTGACAATTTTGGTAAATTTTCAGTTATCAGTGCAACGAGCCCCACCCTCACCCTCGGTGTGTGAAAATTTCAAAACGATAAAAGTTACGTTTTGAGCAATGGATTTACCAATGATCTCGTTTATGTGCGCGTGGTGTACAGCAAGGTGACCCTTCAGTCGTGTAAGGGAATGAAATCCCGACAGAAAAAATAAACTGGCCCTCCCGATTGGAGTTTGGCAGTAAAAAAAAAACCTATGACAAAAACCACAAACAGAGCTAATTCGAGTCTTGAATGCAATATGCCTTCCACGTACTTTTTTCAACGGAGAGATCACGACGCATGAGGGCCAAAGCCGAGAGGAAGCCCTTAAACCAAATAGTGCACCCCAAAAACATCATGAAGATTCGAAACTGGAACGTAACAACACTGTACAGAAGTACGAACATTGTACAGACCAGAAGAGAAATGACTAGTACAGGCGTTGGCATCATGGGATTAGTGAAACACACTGGATAGGACAGGGAAGTCTCTTACTATGGCGTTCATGTCTCCGGTGACAAGAATGGTAACGAATGCGAAACGTGGAAAATGAACAAATGACAAAACAAAACCGTCGATGTGTTCCAAAATACCTAACTACGAAGAATCCTCCGAGTTAATTGGCAAGATCATGTCAGCATGGAAGAGCTTCGAGAAAGAGCCGACATGAAACCAATGAGCAAATAAATAAAATGGAGAAGATGGAAGATGATTGGCTATATACTGCGGCCGGATTGCAGAAACGTCTGCAACATACCAATGACCTAGACACCCGAAGGTAGAAAAAGGAGAGCCACCTGGAAGCCAACGCTAGAGAAAAAGTAGAACGAAGCCTGGACCGAATTACGTAGAGCAAGCTAGAGCAGCAACAGACAGAGAAGAATGGCGGCGCATGTATGTGACACCTTGTCCGCTAGTCGTGGTGTCAGCGATCCGCACATACGTCTTCTTCGAAAGAACGAAATAAATCTTGTCACCAAACCTTACAATACCTGCTACAAGAATTCCCTCTTCGAAAGTTCAGGCTACCCATTAATCTCCACACAAATGTGGCATATAAAATTCCTTTTGCCGATTCTCCTGAGAACTATTTTGGCGAGAATGGAAGGTTTTTTTTCAAGAGGAAAGGAAACACATCCAGAATGTAAAAACATGCAAAATAGGGATTAAATTGGATTCGCCCATGCATGGTCCAAAACCATTCTATTTAAATGAGATTTGATTGTCAATTTAATAATGTCGGTGAAGTTTTGAATGGATCATCAGTGCGAGGTTGTGATAGAGGTATATTTACGAATACAATTGTCCTGCCTTCATTAAAAGGAGACAGGATATTTATCCGTTTGATAGCATTATAAGGCTTGATAGGAATTCATCTGCTTTACCGCTGAAGGAAGTGTAGTACAGAGGAGGAACGATAACAGCAATAAAAATGTAATTATGAATCGCGGTTAAAATTTTGGCTTTTAGTCTTGAATTATAAATGCCCAAACAATGGGTTTTTTTACCTTGTATGTGGCCTTATTTGAGCTTTTCTTGTATTTCCTTCGGTAAAATTTTCCAAACTTTTTACAACACATCAAATCCGGCGGGATACGAATTTTAAACACGAAAAAAGGAAGGGTTTGTGCAGGCAGTTTTTTTATTATTATTTTGCAAATTTATGTCTCTTAAAGCTGAGGAAAGACTGGTCCGATAGATTTCCCTGAAAAACGAGCTCCAACTAAAGTAAAACACTTATTCGCCAGTCTACCAAATTTTACGGAGTTTCACCGAAGGAAGCTCGAGGAAATTCACTGTCAGTTTTGCTTTTTGTGCTCATGTTGACAGGGTCTAAATAGAACTGTTCAGTTACCTCGGACGTTTTCATTTCTCTTCTTTCAGCAGCGTTTATCGATCCCTCGGGAAGGGAGCAAATGCTTCGCCATCATGAGGACAAGCCAACAGCAAAACGGAGACAGCGAGGCACAGTAAAGCCAACGAAGATGAGAACTTCTCGATAACGATAAACAAAACAGAGCAGAAGAGAACATTGTTGAATGCTCCTCTGGTTGACTTCGTTGAGACGAATACACCTTGCCGGGCATGCCAATCACTTCTTGCAGAAAAATATTGAGATTTTTAAAGAGCGTTTTATAAAGAGCCCCTTATTGAAGCGAAACAAGGGTTTAATTAAAAGGTGGATTTTTGCTGATGGGTTTTAAATTAACTGAAAAAAAAAACGACAAACTTAGAAAAATGGCAGTGAAAAAAACAAGCCGCCAAACAAATACAATTTTGAGCTTTCTCCTTAAATCATGTTTTGATTTTGATTATCAAGTCAAAGTTTTTATTGACAATTTAGCAGGTCTTTCAAGGAAACAAACTGTATTTCTATCTAACTTGCAGGATCATTAAAACTCCAATAGCTCTTAATGCAAAAACAACTTTTTACGCTGTAGGAATACCGTATATTAAAGTAAAACACTTATTCGCCACCCTGCCAAATTTTACGGAGTTTCACCGAAGGAAGCTCGAGAAAATTCACTGTCAGTTTTGCTTTTTGTGCTCATGTTGACGTCATAAAATATCAAAAAACACTGACGTTTCCTTTGAGCACGCGCAGATTACTTGAGATTTCGTCCTCAGTACGCGTGCAATCGTAAAACTATAGGGAGCCACTTTAACCGTTCCCCAGTTTGCCGCGTTCTGTTACGACAGCTGATAAATCCAATGTTGCCGAACTGGTTTTATCGTTTGACTTAGTTCAAAAGTTTTAGGGAGGGGTTCCCATTTGGGGCCGAGAGAAAAATCCTGTTTTCTGAAAAGCCATTAACAGACTAAACGCGTGGTGTGTTTCTATTGCAAAGGGTTTTCACTTCCTATATGCCGATTTGGCATATATGAACTGAAAATAAGCTTACACAAAGTTTTGAGGAGTAAACTACTACTAATTAAGTTCAGAAGTTCAGAATTTTGAGACTTAAAAACTAAGAGTCGGGAAGCAAAGCTAAATAGCTTTTGGAGTATCTCGCCCATTGTTACTGTGCATCCTTTCTGCGCACGAAATTCATGTCGCAACGTCACGGCACGTCATACATCAAGCCAGCGCTCTAAGGAAGAAATATACGCAAATACAGTTTCTGGCCCGGGTGTACTAGCTTCTTCTGCAATTTACTCTGTTCAATGCTCGTTGAGCCCTATTTTTCTTTCCGTATATGAAATCCTTGGCCCATTTTATCCATTTTAACAGAAAAAAAAAACAGGAAAAATCTATTCGTCAAAAGTTACCAATTTTCCGCTTTTTTCCGCTCTCGGGTAAGCGGAGTTTTCTTCGAATGTGGACGGGCAAGGCTAATATTTTTTCTTTTTCTAGGCCTATTCAATCTCAAGGAACGCCATCAGCTTCAAAAGTGTACTAACTATACTCAGTTGTGTTGATTTAAGCATGTTCACCTGATCGAAATTTCACTAATGTAGCTTTTTTTTCCGATAAAAACGCATGGTCCTCAACGCGTCTTACGTCGAAAACGAGCACGGTGACCCCCCACTTTATGTTTTTTTTTTTTTTTTTTTTACAAAACCAGTTTTTTTGTGTTTACCATACAAAGCTGAAATATCTTTGTGTATTTACTTGATTTCAAGAAATAAAAATTTTAAAATAATAGATCAGGATCAATCTGAGTCTGTTGTAATGNTTTTTTTTTTTTTAATTTTATTTTCTCGGCTTTTTGGCAAAAGTTGATCATTACCTTACCTCATGATAAGTATTAAAAATGTATATTCGTGGGAAAAGTTTGGGCGCGAACGTCCTTAAGGCTATTTTCTGTAGTACGGTTTCATCAAAATCGTTACATTCCAACATGTAGAAAATCTGAACGTCTTGCCAACATTTGGAACACAACTCAGACATAACTAATTATTCCTGAGTTTTTTGTTGTTTCTTATTTTCAAAACCTGTAAAAAGGGTAATGAGAGTAAATGACGTTATTGAGAAAGATTATAATTTAAAATAACCACGATGAATTATTAAAACCTTTCGGGGGAGTTCAGTCGTCTTAATGCTTCTTTCAAATTCAAATTTTTTAATAAATTCAAATTTGGTTAATTTTCTCCGATTCTATCATTCCTCTGAAACGTTCTGTAGCACTTTTCGAAAATGATGTGCAATTATATTTTGTTTCCTTTATTCAACTCGCGAAAATATGCAAATCGAAGGCACATAATGGTAAAAGACAGAGTAATACAAATTGTAAGGGATATCGATGGAGCATTTTACACCGTTTGCGGCGTAAAAAACTATGAGGTCCTAAAGAGATAAAGTTTAAAAATTGCTTATTATGGTAAACAGGCTCGGGCTAAACCCGTTGAGAATTAATGGCAAGTTCTTAGAGGATCTTAGTCGATTGTTAAATACAGATAAGATAACACAGCAGGAATTTGGCGTATGTTTGTGTTCAGAAACAACGTCTGCGTCTACTGATGAGAAAGAGAGGTTTTGTGCAAAGAGGAAGTCGTATTAATTTGAGGCGCGTGATATCATGCAATCAGTAGGAGTCAAACCCTGGTGTGCGACAATTCAAAATATCGCTATTGAACATTATTTCCTTGTCCTTTATTTACTGCTGGGTAAGGAAGTAAATTTCTCAAGCTCACTAATAGCTTCTCAAACTTAAACCAAGGAAATCATGATCGCGACGATGTTTGGATATGTGGCCTAGATTAGCAAAGATTTTCACAATTTCATTTCTCCGTTTTCTCTTTAGTTTTAGTTTCGATAGAGAAGATGTATCAAGCACCCTAGACCGTGCTTGACCGCGTTTCCAAACATTTTGAATTGAAGTTCGTTAAAAAAAAAAAAAANTGGTCAAACACGGTCTTTTGTGTTTGATCATAGCTATGGTTTGATTTATTACTGGAAGTATTTTCTATCTACGCCGGACAAACTCGAAAACGCAGCTTTATTTCTTCGGTTAGGCCTACCGTCCACACTAATCCGTCACCAACACGCAGCTTTCAAGCCGGATGAATTTGAAAACGCCGGTTTTTCGTTTTCGTGTGGACGGCAAACAGTTTGAAAACGGAGTATTTTGAAAACGACGACCTGACGATAATAAATCATGTGACTTTCCGTTCCCGAGTTTTTGAATACAATGACCAAAATGACCGGTAATTTTGTGTTTTAAAATTCCTCCGGCGTAGTTTGGACAGAAAACATTTGATGCGTTTTCAGAGTGAATCCTTTGTTTTCAAATTTGTCCAGCGTCGTGTGGATTGGGTCTAAATGGAACTGTTCAGTTACCTCGGTCTTTCCCATTTGTCTTCTTTTAACACCGTTTACCGTTCCCGGGGGAAGGGGAGCAAGTGCTTCGCCATCATGAGAACAAGCCAACAGCAAAACGGAGACAGTGAGGCACAGGAAAACCAACGAAGATGAGAACTTCTTCATAACGATAAACGAAACAGATCAGATTAGAAGAGAACGTTGTTGAATGCTCCACTGGTTGACTTCGTTGAAAAGAATACACCTTGCCGGGCATGCCAATCATTTCTTATAGATAAACACTGCGCTTGATTTGAAAGAGAGTTTAATTAAGAACCCCTTACTGCAGCGGAACAAGGCTTCAATTAAAAGGTGGATTTTTGTTAATGGGGTTTTAAATTAGCCAAAAGAAAAAAGCAAACTGAGAAAAATGGTAGTGAAAAGAACTGGGGCGCCAAACAAATAAAATTTTGAACTTTCTCCCTAGATAACTTTTTTATTATTATCAAGCCGAAGTCTTTATTGACAATTTAGCAGGTCTTAAAGGAAGCAACCTGTATTTCTATTTAACTTGCAGGATCATTAATTAAACCTTCAATAGTTCTTAATGCAAAAACATCTTTTTACACCGTAGGAATATCGTATATATTAATTCTGCCTGACCTTTTTTTGGGCGCTCCGTCCGTTAATTTCTATTTGCAGCTGTTTCAAATGGCGGAACACCATATGATGCACACTTTAGCGAATTTAAGCAACTACGACGGCAACGCCAAGGATAACGTCGATTAGGAAATAAATTTATAGTTTACCTACGGATCTTGCGATACTCTAAAGTCACTTAGTTTGTTTAAAATTGTCAAAACTGTCTTGAAAATGAACATGGAATACAGAGTTAATTTCGAAAGATGAATTAACAACTGACTTGGTAGTCGTAGTTCATGTTTTCGTCGTTTTGCAGTTTTGCATCGGCGGTCCATTCAGCTGAATCAGCAATTAGCTGAATTCTGCCTAAGTAGACTTCTGCAAGCTTTCTATAAACGGAAATTCGGACAGTTAAAATTTTAGCCAATTCCTCAACTATCAGGTGAGAGAATTTTGCAGACCTCAATCTTTAGGAATCATTTTGAAAAAAACGCGTTATTTCCTAACTGACAGTGACAATTATGGCAAATTCTTAGCCATCAGTGAAACTGGACCCATAACTCGTAAAGCATAATAAACAGTACTACATCACAATATTTTTTAACCGCTTTCATTTGAATGGTCATACACTGGAGTTAGATCCACAAAGTAAAATGAGTTAGAACACCTTGTGCTATCTAATAGGCCGAGCCGCGTCAAAAGCAACTTTAATAACTTTCAAATGGGCTTGGCGTTTTCACCGACGGAGTGAGGAAAATAACCTTTAAACTTTTAGTCTAAAAGCTTAGTTATATTTCCTTTATGTGGTTAGCACTTAAATTTAAAAAACTCATTTTCACAAGGCTAAAAGGATATGTTTCACTTATCTTCTTCCCCTGACGATGACACAACGTCGAAAACGCCTTTTTTTTAATTATTATTATTTTTTACACTTTTAAGCATATAGTTGTAAGCCCCAGGCGAATATTATGGACACGTAAATTAAAATTGCAGAAATTTAAAATGGCCACTACGCGTCTTGATTTACATATCACGACGTCAGTTACTCATTTTCCGTGATCATGTGGTATCACGTAAAAATCGTGCGTTTAAATGTCCATGGTTTTCAATTGCGTCTATTCATAACCATTTAGCCAAGTGCTCCATTAGTTAAGATGTTAGTTTATACAACGCATTGGAACCATTAAGAAAGAACATTTTCATCTGACTAATTAAGTGTGCCCTTCAGTCACATAAACTTTGCTACGTGTTCAACATAATATATTCAAATAAAAATTTAATTTAAAGGCTCTTTCCTATGGAAAAGTGCATCTCAGGTTCCGGCATGAAATTTTAGCGAGGCCAAACGGAAAGGCAGCTTAAAGTTAGACGCTCAAAACTTGAGTGCGAAAAGGGCGAGATAGAGAGCCGAAGCCCGACTTAGTCCGACCCTACTGAACAATAAGCGAACGACTTTCAGAATGTAAATTCATGCATGTTGCGCAGCTGAACAAGTCATGATTTGTCGACAGCTGGGGTTCACGTGTCCTACCTCTTACGCAAATTTTGAAAAAAACTACCAAAGAAATGGGAAGGGTGCTATGAGATTAGCGAGACTGCCAATCTTGAGACTGTTAAGAAAGATGTCTTTTCAAGAAAAACTTGCGTTCAAGCAGCAAAAAAAAAAAAAACAAGACAAGAACTTAAGGTAAATAAATGTAACCGGTGCGAAGCGCTGGAAAACGTGAATGAGCAACTCAAAAGTGGTATTGGTGTAACTTCTCTTTGTTTGAGAATGAAGCGTGAGTTTTTCAAACCAATTACTAAATGTAGTAACGCGAAACTAAAAGCAGATTAATGTTGACTCTTAAGTGAAAACTGGTCCAGTGCCGAGCACTCTGTATCCACTAAGAAGAGTGTAACCCGCAAAACGAGTAAGATTAGATAAGTTAATAATGATATTTAAGGCAAACAGAAAACGACTGATTTGCGGTTTACCAATTGCTGTTCATTCTTCTCCTTTGCCTTGTTCTACGCACACGACGAATGAAGCGAAGCCCAGCAAACTTTTCAACGGAGCCCGGCATTTTCGACAGGCGCTCAGTTTCTCACGAATTCCTTTAAAATTCACCTAGAAGTCAACATGTTTTACCCACAAAATGAACTAAAACAGCGTATCTCGAATGAAGTATATACAATTGCTATTGTACTACAAAAATGCAGTTCTTAGGCAAATTTTCCCGGCGTTTTTTATTTCTCGTAAAACTTCTCCTCGTCGTGTTGAAAAAATCGTCACATGGTCATGTCCCGCGTTTGCCGTTTGCCATAAACGAAGTTTCCTGCGAACATCACCAACCGCAAGAGGTCACGTGACCAGAGCCAGACCTCACAGAGGGTGACAAAGGGTTTTCGCGTGACGCGTGATCGCCCCAAAATTAGCAACGTGATGCGTAATTGAGACCAAATTAGCCGCGTGACGTGGGACAGGCCATCATAACGTAATGCGTGATTTGCTATTTCACAAGCACGAGATCGATGATTTACCAATTAAATTTCAGTGATAAGTAGACATTCTTTGAACTAGAAGGATAGCATTCATTCAAAGTAAACAGTAAATAGAGTCTTAAAAAAGATCATCAAATCGCGGCAAACGTGACACCATTTTCTGGTTCTTTTCGTCCTTTTCTTAATCTATGATGTCTTTGATCTTCGTGGATCTTCATGGTATTATAGGTCCGAACAATTGTGATACAAATTATGGAAATAAGTCAATTGAAAATAGTTAAACTCTGCGAAAGGACTATGAGCTTCGGTGTTATTTTTGTTCATTTTGTCGACCGATCATTTTTGGCAGTACATCAGACCAAGAGAATATTCGAATCTGGCTATCGTATAAAAGGTCTGAGCGAATGTCGTCCAAAAGGGCTGAAACGATAGCACACGTACGCGTTAGAGTTTTGCGTCATTTCATACCGCTCGAGAAGGCAGTTGTGTAAGCAACGAGAGACTACACAAGGAAAACGTTTGTGTGCCACTTAATGAAGGTCGCCACAAAGACCTAACTGAATTCAAAAGCCACGTTATATCCTTTACAGACAAAAACGTTGCCGCACAGAAAAGGAATTGCAGGTGCAAAGCTTTGACACAAATATTGCCTGTATATTAGAGCATGGCAAAGGTGGCGTAGACTTCTTCTCAATTCGTATACAAGATCTCTGCCAACTTAGCCTGTGAACAGGCTTCCGATTGTGTTGTAGGGGAATGAAAAAACAGGCGGGCAGAGATAGCCGAGAGTGGTCTGGAGAGGGAAAAATCCCACCACGCCAGGCTCGCTTCGCTCGTCCCATTTTATTTTTTTCGCGCTTGTCGGGTGCCTGTCCACAGACGGTGAAAACTCTCCCAGATTATCCAGGAGCCTCATGGACACAGACCGAATCTCCCGGTCTCCCGTAAGGGTCACCACTTTTATTTCCGGGGGGAAAATTATTTCAAAATAAAAATGAGCGATAGAAATTTTACACAACGTTTCGATGTCGTCATGACATCATTATCAAGTGACAAGAAAATAACGGTTCAACAGGGTTATATATGCGGTGAGAGGTGTGATTGTTCATTAACAAATCCGTTTAAACAAATAGTTTCGCGCGGATGGAATCCGATTGCGTGTTCAGGCTAGGTTTCTTCTTTCTAATAAACAGCATTTCGTAAATCAAACAATCCAGTTTTCCGTTGCATTTCTTTAGGACGGAAAAATTATTGGCAAGGTCGTCGATGTTATAAAGGCCGTGATGGTTCTTTAAATGCTTTCCGATTGCGGAGAACCTGTATTCATCAATACGTTGGTGCAAATGCCGGCTGGTATACCCGACATACTCTGCATCGCACAGATCACATTGGTAATTGTACACTACGCATTGTTGGCGGATTAATTAGAGGTGGTTTTGGTTCACGCATCTTGAGATCTTCACAGATTTTGCGACTCTTGAATACTGGTTGAAGAGTGTGATCGATTTTCTTGCTCA